GAGCAACAAGCGAGTGTCGTTGACTACGGGGAGACGTCGCGAGCGAGCGTCAGTGGAGGCTGTTTCATCTGCTAGGGTTTCGGGGATCCATCATATGTATATATATATATATATATATGTCACAAGCCTTGGCCTGTTTTTTTTACAGCCCTAACTATAAGTCCCCTCAGGTCAAGGGTTCGATCCCACGGTGACGCAGGTGCTCGGAAATTTTAGACACATGACGCAGGCTCTCATAATGGGGCCAAAAAGCGTGCGGGGTCACTGTAAGTCCCCTCAGGTCAAGAGTTTAATCCCACCGTGGCGCGGAGACTCTGGAATATGAGGCACTTGACGCAGACACCTAATCATATTTGCCCAAACGCAAAGGGGAAGCGGTATTTGGGGCCCGGAAATTGATATTTGGGCCTCTGCCAAATATCAATTTCCTTTATATTTTTATATATATATAGGCGTTGGGTTGATGGCTTAACGGGCTAGCCATAGGCCCGCTTAGAATGAGTAGACTTGCTATGGAAAAAACAAAAATTTACCAAGCCCAACCCAGCCCGAGACAACCCACTTTCACTTAGTCGAAGTCCAGAACAGGCTACTCGAACCGACAAAACATATGTCTTCAGCTTCAAATTTTATAAAGGTACAATGTAAATGTGATTTTGCAATTATTTTTTATTTGTTGGGGTGATAGGCTAGGGTAGATGGCACATGATTTGCAGCTATTGTGGTAAATGAGATTTATCAGGATGTAAATGAGATTTGAGGATTGTCATTATTTCTTCCTTTATATTTTTTAAAAAAGAAGTGGTTTCAAATGATTGAAATGAATTAAATATAATTTAATTAAAAAGAAAATGATTAAGTCAATTAGAAGTCGCTCTCTTATGACACTAGTTGGGACACTATTATACCCGTGCATGTTAAAAAAAATAGAAATGAAAATGATTGTATCCTTATTTAGTAACATTTTTTACGAAGCTCGTGAAATGATTTTCTAAAGGAAAAAATGAAAACTGTAATTGATTAAGATGATTTAATAAATTTTTTTATAAAAAGAAAAATATAAAGCTTACTTAATAAATTGATTTGTTTGTTTTATTAAACATTCTTGTTTAAGCATTTGCATAATAAATTTGTAATTATTCATTAAGTTGTTGTAAACTTAATCAATTATTTAAGTATTATTTTTTAGGATTTATACTAGATTAATATGACTAGGGGTGCAAACAAGCCTAGTCGAGCTCTAGCGATGCCAAGCTCGAGCTCGACTCGTCTGACAAACTGTAAGCTCGAGCTCAATTGCCGAGCTTGAGCTTAGCTCATATTGGTAGCAGTCGGCTCACAACCTGGCTCGTGAGCTCAAACTAAAATCTTAATTTTTATGGGAGCTCTCGAAATAAGGTATTTGTTGAAGGAGGAGAGGGATGTAGCGGGAGCTCATCGGAGAATGCATCGAAATGACTAGTTGTAGGCTGATAAATTTGGCTTGCTAGATGGGATGAGCTCGAGCTTGTTGAATAAATAAGCTCGAGTTTGAGATCAAGCTCGAGCTCATGGATTGATAAGCTCGACTCATGAGCTTGTTAAAGAGCAGAGCTCGAGCTGGCTCGGCTCATTTTTGACCTTAGAAATGACTGATAGGATGGAGTTTATTTACAGGACGAACAACTATTGAAAATAGATAGCAGATTGTTTGTTCTCTATGTTTACTTATTTTTATTTTTTATTACTATTTAAATTTGGATGATTTTATGTATCTTGTTAGATGATATTTATTTATATCATGTAGATTAGTGGTTTTTTTTAGCTGGATATTGTTGTGGACTATTGTTCCTGTTAGTAATGTTTACTTTCAAGGTTTGATCAGTCGTTCCCATCTTGATTAACTCCAAGTTCTCCGTTTGAGTTATGCATGATTAATCAATCAAATAAGGTATTATTTCAGATATCTTATTTTCATGCAATGCTTCTACAAATTTAGTGTTGCGCGTGCTGCGATAAAATTCAAACTATTGAGTCATCTCAGCATTATCTTCAATAGATACTTCACTATCAAGCCCCTCTAATATATTCAGTCGTCAACATCTTATTAATTAATCAAACATAATATTATTCCAGGTATCTAGTTTCTACGCAATGCTTCTTCAAATTTGGTGCTGTGTGTGCTGCAATAAACATCAAACTATTGAGTCAAAATCTCACATTCTTCAGTAGATACTTCACCATCATACCTCTCAAATATTTTTATTTGTTAGTCTATCCCTTGTAGTGCATTCATGTTAACATTCTTATTTTTACCATGTTCAATTCGAATTATGCTAAAATTTCTTTCGCCTAATACTCGGGACCAAGTGTGGACCTAGAAGTTTGTGTTTTTCCGGCTTGGGGGCATCTTGTGAAAATTTTTAATGCTAGAAAGTACAGCCCTATGGGATCTCCTTAATCCATATTTAAATTAAGCTCTAAAGCATAACAATTCCATTAAATTTTGACAAATCCCTATAATGTCCATGCCTAGCACGTGTTATATAAAATTTAACAAAAATGGTAATTAAGTGATTAGGATTTACCATTATAGTTAATATTCAAGTAGTAAAGTTGAACTATGTAGGAATCAACACCAAAGTTTTATTTTTTATTTTTTTAAACCTCTTAATCCTAAGTCTTGAAATGCAAGGTAGAGGGGCAGGCTATTTCAACCTCATGGGTGATTCAGTGGGGTTGGCTCCAACATTTATGAGTACTTCCTTCTAGTGCCTTAACGATTGATCCACCCGTGCTCAGATTTTTACAGCATTTCTGTCCCAATTGAGTTTTATATAATTTACTTTTAGGTCTCTGTATCCTCATTGTATAATACTCCAGAGGCACTTCTTTGTGAAACTTGATTATATCACACATGAGCATTGATTTAGCATAACACAAAAAAGTATTAATTTATCTTCTATTAATATTACTTGATGACTATAATTTTTCCGTCCTATATTCTCCAATTCTCCAACGAGTTTGGACTCTTGGGACAGAGAATATAACTATTCTTGTTTTGCTATTTCATTTGATATGAATTTGATTTGATTATATTTGATTATTTTATTATAAAATTTTGCGTAACAAGTTAAATTTTCTCTATTTAAGTGTGATGCGTGCTAGAAAGTTCGCAGCGGGAGAGTAATGGATTATTGTCTTAACGTTGCACAAGAATTCAACACTCACTCAAATAAAAGAAAACAACCAGTTATGTCACCAAAATATTTTTTGTGGAAAACCCGTAATGGAAAAAAAAACCACGGGGTCTGATTCAGTTGCAAAAATCTACTATAAGTTGATTACAAAGACTCGGTGTCCCACAAGCGTGAGAGGGTTACAAAGTTTTTGAATTACAACATTGACTTATGGATGAACTTATTGCAAGGAATAAACGGCGATCGATGGTGATCGGCTGCGGCCGGCAAGTGGGGGTTGATAGCAGCCGACGGTGGTTGACGGCGGTCGGCGGTGGTCGACGGTGGCGGAGTAGTGCTGGACTTCAGCTCATTCTCAAAGCTTCAAGCTCTTTCTCAGGTCTTGAAGTAGTGGTGGTCGACGGTGGCTTTCTTTCTCAGGTCTTGAAGTAGTGGTGGTCGACGGTGGCAGGAGTAATGGTGGTCGACGGTGGCTTTCCTCCCTTTCATATTAGAAAGGTGAGACTCTATTTATAGAGTTTCAGGTGCAATTAATGCAGAAATATGAACCATTTTGATTGGAATGTCGGGAGATGTTCCCTGAATTGGACAGCGTTTGATGGACATTTGAGAGTCTTAATGAAGTTAGAATTGATCGATCTTGAGCTCATTGGATTTGTTTTGTCGAGACGCTCAAATCGACTATAAATTCGTCGGATTCGACATCCATTTGACTTTCCAAATGTTCGAAAAACTTTCAAAAGTGGTTTAATGATTTGATCTAAGCTTGATTTGACTCGAATTTGACCAATTTTGATATCAGTGGGTTTGTCTTGTTGAGCCAGTCAGTTTGGCTATAAATTTGCTAAAATCGGAGTTCTGGTTGACTCTAAAATGAAGTTTGAATATTTTTTGCTCAAAAGATTGTCTCAATAACTATGTCATGCCTCGAGATTCGTGTCGGATGACGAAAATTTGTTGATGGAGTATCAAAGTGGTTGGATAATTGTGCATGTTGAATCAGTTAATGAAATTATTCATCAATTTCTTTTACTTGATAATATCTCTTTCTCGTTTGTGTACAACAAACGTTAAGCTTCTGCTGGAAGTTTCTTGGATGATGTAAATTATTCTTATACCGTTCTGGCTTTTATCATATTCTTTTCTGTTGGGATTATATTGCTCTCTCTCTCTCTCTCTCTCTCTCTCTCTCTATATGTGTCTATATATCTATAAGTTGGTTTGATTATTTAAATTCTGGATAAGAGTTTTCAGCAGTTTTGTCCCCTTTTATAATCTTTAATCCATAGGATCTTAGTCCCCATAGTCTTTTTTTTAGTTGATAACTTCAATTGCTTCCAATTTTTTTTAATGATATGATCGTCAGTCTGTTGCTGCATGGCGAAAATAAGCAACATGATATTTTCACTAGAATTGGGCTTGCCTATTATTTTTCAACCCATTGGCGTAAAATATACAGCTTTTAATTGCTTAATAAATAACTTTTGTTTATCACTCCCATTCATGTCTAAATGAAAGCGAGGAAAATTGATTTTGAAGTCTCTGTTGGAACCTATTTGGACTTGATATGAACACGCAACACCTGATCAGATTTCTCTCCCTGTTAAGCCCCTTAATTGCGCAATATGCATAAGTTAATAATCTTTTTTGTTTATCAATATTTATAGTTTGAAGACGTAATTTTCAGGAGAATAAATTATTTATATTGGCTGCATATGTTATGCCTTTATTGCTTGCATATTACAACTTTTCAGCATCAAGTTTAATCTTTGACATGTCTTCAGCGAACCCGCGTGATGCATAAAATTTGTTTTGTTTCAGGTTCTATTGGATGAAGCAATTGCTAAGTTGCAGCCTGATTTCTTCTGGTTAGGTGGAGGAGAAGTGGATTTGAAGCTCGGGATAAGGACTTCTGAATTTATAAGTGCCATCAAACCATTTTTGGTGAACTGTAGCTAGTGATGCTTTTTAACCTCTCCAAAATGATAGAATTAAGTGAAATTTACATAGGTAGCTCTCAATTCTTATATATTTATATATCTCACACCTAAACTTTTATATTTTACATACATAGCACTCAGTTGCTTTAAAACCATGCTTGAAAAGGTGTTTTTCTTTTTTAAAAAAGTGACAATAGTGCTATTTTTTAAATGATATTAAAGTTTTGAGTGTTATGTGTGTAAATATGAAAGTATAGGTGTGAGATATGTAAATACATAAGAATTGTATGCTATGTATGCAAAAGCCCTTAGAATTAAAGAGGAAATGCAGTTGACCACTTGATTTATCCAATCTGAACAATATGATTACACCTATGATCACACCCTCATAAATATAGGAGTTTGGGAGGGTATATTTGTCTTTATTGGAGCAACCATTTTTTCACTATCATTCCTATCCTTATTCTATTCTTGTGGGCTCCAATTTACTTTATTTTATGGTTGTGATGAGGTTACATGGGAGACAGTCTTGTAATTTTCGCTTTTCTGCCTCCTTGATTAACTCCAAAATTGTAAGCATCATAACAATTTTATTGTCAAATGTGCCCTACTCTGGCACAAGGTCACTTTTTTAAGTTTTCAATAGAAAACATGCATAAAAACATATTTGTGGCACGTGAATCTAAAAATTAATTACAGCGACAGATCACTATTAATTGTGTTACATATTTACTGCTTTTATCAATCTCTACCACCAATGCGTGATAGAAAATTGTTTCTAACTTGTTAGAACTTCTTTCCCTCATAGGGAAGTGATCCGTTATGGCTCCAAGTAAAAACATTGCCCTGAAAGACCTGCTGAATCATGTTTCCTCCGGTAAGTCCCATATACTTCGATATTTTTGTTTTTCTTGGAAAACATGTTGATTATTACTCGAAATCTGCTTTAGGTGAATTTATGATTCAGCTAAACTTAACTGTCTCGTTAATATCGCTAGTTTTGTGCAAAGATTTGTGTTTCAAACATTTTTTCAAACAAAAGGTGGAGGGAGATAAATTGGGGAAAAACTGAGTAGGATGTCATGATCAAAATTCATTCAAGATGAATTTTAAACTGTTAATTTTACCTCATGATTGATACAATGCAAAACTAATCAATCAATGCCTATACCGAATTTGTCTCAGAAGTATTTTTTATATCTTTAAAATTCAACATGATCAAATTTTAATCAGGATACTTTGACTTTTTTATTAAGAAATCGCATGCTCGGTGAAGAATAGATAGGATTTGTCGAAATTAAACCAGATTTGTGTTCTATCAATCCAATTAGAGCTGCAATTATGTGGTTCATTTTTTCTATCCTAGTTATTACTTCTACTTAAAAATTTTCAACTATTTCAACCCCCATTTTAGTAGTCACTCAAACGTAAAATAGATGAATGAGGTTGGAATAATGACTATTACACTGCAATTTCCACCCTAACTGGTTCTACGAGACCATTTCTGATGATGCTGGCTCACCAAATTCTACATTCTATTAAAGGCTCACAAAACAAACATATGTTTCTTTGTTTTTACATCTCTTTTATAGTAAAAGAAATTGGGGTTGGCATCCTAATCTATTAAATTTCCTTTGAGATGCAATTTAAAATTTATTTTTATAGTCATAGGTATGGATCAGACTAATCTTAAAATAAATTTAATTAGTTTGAGGTTTATTTTAATCATTTTATTTATGAATATCCTAACATATTGTTTTTTCGTATTGTATAAACATTTTATAAACATGCATCAGGTTATGATTTGAATGCATTAATGACTCCTTGAAACATTCAAATTCTTATGACATGCATACAGTTCCAGATTTCATTGACTGGCTCAGAAAATTCTTCCAACAATTAGGTGAGAGCTTTTATTATAAAGTTAGTTCCTTGAAGTTAATAAAATGCATGTGCTGCTAAATAAGAATCAGAACAGCCCTTGAACCAAAAATTCTTATGGCCATCCCACAAAATAGAACATGCATTCAAATACAACCCTTCATTTATGAGCAACAAATTTGGCAACTGCAACCAGTAGATTGATAAAATTTCCTTAATAATTACTATAAGAAATAATAGTTTTTATGAGTTTATATAAGTTTTATATATTTTTCATTTTATTTGCCTAACAAACTGATTAGCCAATGTATAACTATGCAGTAATTTCTATGCGCATTAATATGATAGCAAGTGATATGAAAAATATGTTGTCCAAACTTATATATTCATGCATTAAGGAGCTTTTACGTACACAATGCTTAACCATCTTACCGGACTCATTCGATTCAGTGCATTATTTCAGAACTAGATATTTATTTATTAATTATTGTTCATCCAAATGAATGTTCTTTAGTTGAACGGGCATTCCAAAATTTCTACAAAAAAAAAATCTTTATTGAAATCGATTTTTAGAATAGTGAAAAAAAAACTTCATCGTGTAGTATCATTATGTCTGGACTGTCAATCTTTTCATGAGCTACTTTATTTGGTTTATAGCCAGCCATGCATGCATGCATGCATGCATGTTCCTGTGCATACATATATGTACATTGATCCATGCATGCATGTGGCCATTGAATATTAATAAACCTCGGCCCTAATGGACGATACCTTATAATTGTAGAAGAAAACGAGTGTAAAGAAGCATATTGGGAGTATGTTCTTCATTCCTTCACCTCTGAATCATCTATCTGTTATCACATCAACATTCTAACATTGTCATCATGAAAACTTTTTATGATTTGGACACTAATGCTGATACACACTCCCACTGTTCAATAATGTAGCTCAAATTAACAGAAGGAAAGCATTTAAATATAGTAATTAGACAGATCAAGAAAAAAAAAAAGCATAGAAAAAGAGAGATAAAGAGGCTTCAGTTATGAGAAGGTGGATGGGTTTTTGGTCCGTCGTAATCGATATTGAACCCTGGATGCTGATCTCTATGCTTAATTTGTGGAATGCGATCCTTCTTCAACTCCATTTTTGAGCCAACTGAATAAGCAATCAAAATCTTGTCTGTCTCCATTTTCAAGCCAGTATCCTAGAATTAAGAACATTTATACAAACACACATATATATGTATATTAACATTTATAATTAAATTGAACTAAGGTCTTATAGAATGTACTTTAGGAGAAATAGACCGAACTTACCTTGATTGAAGGGAGTGAGCTTGAAGTCTTCATGTTATTGCTTCTGATAGAGCTTAGATGCCGGCCTTGGCTTGCATTATAGGTGGAAAAAGATAGGATGAGGAAGATGAGAAGAAGAAAAGAAGACATTGTTAGCTTAGGGTTTGCTGCTTGTGTGATCAGATGGTTGTGCTATTTCTACATGCACTCATTAAATGTAGGGTAGGGCTTCATCGAGGAGATGGGGAAGTGGGAAAGGAGACCATAATGTTCTAATTTATGCATTTATAAATTGTTGAAGTCAATGTGAAGCTTCTTCATTAATTTGAGGAGAGGGAAAGCTTCTAATTTATGCTTTTATATGAGGAAGTCAATGAGTCCTTTTAGGGGTCGTATGTAATTTATTCTAGCATTTGGATTGTTAAGTAAAAGAAAATTAAACGGCTTACTTCTGTTTAAGGGCTATAATTTTTTATTAATTTATGTAAATAGAGGAGAATTTAATGTAAAGATTTTCATGTTTTATGCAATTGCACTCTTTTTTAGAAAAAAGTCACCCACTCCCATCACATTGATTCTAATGCTCCTAATAGATAATAGTGGAACATCCAGATACTGTATAGTATCATTCCAAAGAAAGACTTGCTCAAAATACCTTAATTTTTAATTTTTTTTATTGATAGAAGAAATATTTTGTTATATAT